ATATATATATATATATATATATATATATATATATATATATATATATATATATATATATATATATATATATATATATATATATATATATATATAAGTGCTTTTTTTGAACACCCTGTCAGCCTAAATATGGGAGAGAGAAAAGTCTTTTGCCTGCATCAGCTTAATCCAAAGCCATCCACAGGCAGCAGTCGCTTAACTGCGACATCATATATGTTTTTCAAAATTTGAAATGCTAACAAAGAATTAAGGGAGTACTGAGATAGCTATTTCTAACCTTGTTTGGTTTTCATCAGTCAGACATACCCTTCCGAGATTCGAACCTGGGCTGTCTGCATGTTAAGCAGAAGCATTAGTCCTCTATGCCACAGGCTCTTTCACACCAGCTCATACTTAGATGTTTTTGGGGAAGTACCAAAGGTACTCTGCTAGGGATTTTTTTTTTCTTTTTTTGCAAGTGTAGTAAAAATAAAATCCAACCAATGGCAAGTGTTCTTGTAATAAGATGTATTTCCAGAAGATAAAATTAGTAAATTTACCCTGGTAGGATTGCAGTTTACAGTAAAACTTTGATCATGGACAACTTAAATAGCTTCACTGATGATGAATTCAAAGACCCTAAAATATTCTCATTTTCAGAGAAGATGAATTTTGGACCAACTGGACTCACATCATTTGAAATTAGTGGTAAAGTACTATTTGATTATCATCTATACTTTGATCAAAATATCTAAGACAATTTATAAGTGATTGATTAGTGAGAATTTGTCTTTTATGAATGGAATTAATTTGTTATTGCATTAAATGGCATTATTTTATGGCAGTGACATAAAAATATGGAAGGGTGCCATGGAATTTCATGACCAAGACTACAATCCTAAATTTGTTTTTCAGGACATATGTGTGATGGGAATATACTGGTTTAAGTCTATGCCAACACCTGTATACAGCGAGGGGAAAAATTATTTGATCCCATGCCGATTTTGTACATTTGCCCACTGACAAAGAAATGATCAGTCTATAATTTTAATGGTAGGTTTATGGTAATAGTGAGAGACAGCATAACAACAAAAACATCCAGAAAAACGCATTTCCAAAAAGTTATAAATTGATTTGGATTTTAATGAGTGAAGTAAGTATTTGACTCCTTCGCAAAACAGTACTTGGTGGCAAAACCCTTGTTGGCCTATCACAGAGGTCAGACTTTTCTTGTAGTTGGCCACCAGGTTTGCACACATCTCAGGAAGGATTTTGTCCCACTCCTCTTTGCAGATCCTCTCAAAGTCATTAGGGTTTTGAGGCTGATGTTTGGCAGCTCGAACCTTCAGCTCCTTCCACAGATTTTTTTTATGGGATTAAGGTCTGGAGACTGGCTAGGCCATTCCAGGACCTTAATGTACTTCTTCTTGAGCCACTCTTTTGTTACCTGTGTTTTGGGTCATTGCCATGCTGGAATACCCATCCATGATCAATTTTCAATGCCCTGGCTGAGGGAAGGAGGTTCTCATGCAAGATTTGATGGTACATGGCCCCGTCCATCGTCCCTTTGATGCGGTGTATGTGCATGTACATTGCGTTGGGGCTTCAGTTGCATAATTGCAACCACCAATTTGACTTTTTTTGACATCCATATACACCATGGACACCAAGTTGACAAGAAAATTTCATACATGGAATCACTGGAATCAAATCCAAATTAAGAATATTTTTATCTTTTCAGTTTTGTATAGTTCACTGAGAAAAGAGATAAATTAAATATGCTTTTGCTAAAAAGATACTCTTAGAGAAATCAGAACTCCATAATACACACAAACACACAAACACACACACAACACACACACACACACCAATTTAAAGTTGCATTTCAGGATGTGCTATGGCACATTAAGTGCTATTTTTCCATAGGCAAGGTTTTCATTACAACTGTTTGTAGTGACTAGGAAAAAGGAAGAGTTTTGTGAGGGAATACACACAAATGTTATTGGTTGGGCTTCTTGTCCCTTTATAAAAAAGCAGTGAGATTGTGTCCGTATGACTTTCTAAGTGGACATTGGTGTAAGAATCCATTTCCTCAGAATTGTCAGCGTGCCCCTATAGCAAGTTTGTAAGATTTTTCACGATTTATTAAGCTGGCTGTTATCACAGGTTACATCCAAATGCATTAAGAAGCCAAATTATATTGCTTAGTTTGTTTTATTTTTTATTGATTGACTTTTATATCACTGAGTTACAAAACTTTTATAGTAAAAGATAATGAAAATTAGTACTGAGATGTGAATTCTTGGGAGACTGTTATTTGTTGATTGTAATTCTCAGCAGAAGTGTTTAGAAATTTGAATGACCTTAGTAATCAAATATACTTCCAAATAAGCTTGCATAGATTATACCTACAGAGACTTTTGTCTAGAAATTAAACAATTTACCCTCTGTTAAACATATTAATAAAGAATAACCTGTTTAAATCATGCTGCTCAATAGGATCCATGTTTTATAAAACTTTGTGTAGAGGATTAGGGTCAATATCATTATTTGACCAGTAATGGTAGTTTCAGTCACTTGTAGAGCCAAATGATGGACTTATATTACTCTGTATATTTTGTTTTCCCCAAAATTTTAGAACCAAAGAAAGAGAAAAAGACTTGCAGATGCTGTATTTGGTCTGTACTAATAATATATTTGGTTATGCTCACGGGAGGCATGGGACTGTTGGCCTATGAAGGTAACCTATATTAAATGTAATTTATTTTTTTAAATCAAAAGATGAAAAACTGTTCTCATACCACTGATATTGCTAAATCTAATTGAGTGAAATCCTTAGCTAACCTGGTGCGTTGGATTAGCAGCATTGAAATAGCAGTTCAATGTACTGTATGTTGTGTGAAAGTCACAGCTGGTGGTAAGGGATATCATATTATGTCCCTCCAAGCAGCCAGATATTTTGGGGTGCCCTCTTTGATTGCTGTATTTCAGCTCATGAGGGTTTTTGTTCCACTGTTTTTAATGATCTGGAAAGAATATAGAGTTATTAAAGGTCAGAGAGCCCACCCATCCTGAAAAGTTCAAAAAAAAAGTGACAGCATTTCTAACCGGTACCTGAAAAATAAAAACAGTGCCAAAGATGATTTCCCAGCATTCAATAAATAACCTTCAGACCTTTAGCTTCCCAACCTGTTTTCCAGATGCTTTTGTCTTCAGTCACATACGGGTCTGATTAGTCATCCTGAGTTTTCTCATCACAATCTGGGTAGCTCTTTACAATGCTTTTTATATTGCCACAAAATATTGAGTTTTAAAAGAACAGTAGCAATAACCATAGGAAATCATTCTGAAGTCCAGATTAAATTGCAGACATATTCTGGGGACAGAAGAAGCTAAAAATGCCACTTTACTCCAAGCATCCCCTGAGTCTTTAGCTGATAAATTGTGGGGCACATTTGGACAAAAAATATGGTACCATCACTTTTCTTTTGATTGGTTAGTTTGTTGATTGATTGTTCATGTGACACCAGGTTTTCTACTTCTAGTAACTACATAGTTTTTCTCCATTTTTATTTTAAACTTACATTTTTTTTNGAGAGGGAGAGAGAGTAAATATGGGGATTATAGGTCAAGATTAAAGTCTCTTGTAAGACTGCAAAGGTCAAAGGCAGCAAATTGGCTTTGGGGGTCTTATAAATGTTCTTAGTTTTCTGGCTAATAATGATGAGCTGCATTCCACATCTGCATCACTTGCTTTCTTGGTATTTAATGGTCCACAGCTGAAGCCAGGAATATTTATATTGGATGCAGCAGGTAGAGGAAGCCATGACCTTGTGGCTATTCCATCATCAGTGAAGGTACTATATAAACTAATCCAATGATAGCATATGGCTGATAACAAAGGTGCCTCCAATATGAGCATCGGTATATCTTAAGGGCTGGAACTGCTGGTGGGTAAAAAATCATTGGTCATGCTCTTGTGATCATCATCCTTCAAATGTTACCCTACTTCTTTTCGGTGTAGAGAACATGTGCTAGAACATGAAACAAGCTTTCAGCGCATTTAAATTGCATTTAAAGAAGAGCATGGAAGGTCTGCTGGTGAGGCTAATTCAATCATAGGTACAGGTTGCCCTCTAACGTTGCAGTGATCACCAGATTGGAAGATCTTCCAGTTCCACTCAATTTCTTTGAAGAAATATTTCTGTTGTTGTTCAGTTGCTAAGTTGTGTCTGACTCTTTGCAATTCCGTGGACCACAGCATGCCAGGCACCCCTGTTTTCCACTGTCTCCCCAAGTCTGCCCAAACTCATGTCCACTGTGCTGATGATATTGTCTAATCAGAAGAAACATGAGAGAACACATATCCCAATAAGTGAAGTCCTTGGCCAGCCCTGTCCCTTTGGATATATCCAAAGAGAACATCCATAGTTAATGTTTTCTTGCTTTGGCAATACCACTGTTCCCATTTTTAGCATCAGATTAAATTGTGTTGCATAAAGCAATATATTTCCTTCAAGCACTAACTTTGAAGTAACAAATAGTTACCTATTTGTAAAATTAACCATTAAAGTAAAATAATAAAACATGAATATTGAAAAGGCAAGGTGCTAATTGAATCTGAATTATTCTGTATCTTTCACACGTAGAAATGTGACAGTCAGTAGGATCCTACTACAAAAATTGGTTTAGTGTGTTTTATATGACATTAACAATAGCAATAGATCAGTGATTTGGCCGGGTATGGAGTAGAAGGACAAATTGTGATTATTTATACAACTTCTAGAAAGCATTTAAGGCATTAGAACAAGGCTTCCTGACAAGTTATAGGCTTTGGTTAAAACAGGAAAGTTCTTCACCTAATTTTATATTCTCCTATCTAAAAAAAATGAAAATTAACTTAGAAAATTAGCACAGTTGGATAATGGTGAATTAACTCTGGCTACTTCATTACTTTCTGTTCATTTTTCTCAGTCTACATGTTGCACAAAATTATAAATAACATGAAAGAAGGCAGACCAGAAAAACTAGTGAATCATCTTGCTAATGGCACCATGGAGAATGAGATCCTTTTTGGAGTCAATGCTCAGAGTGATCAAGGACACTGGATCCACAGTTTTAAAAAAGAAATTCATGTAATCAAACTGAGCAACCAACATCTGCAATGGGAAGTGGCAAACATTACAGGTACGTCCTAGCTTCAGCTAATCTGAATGCAGTTTTATTTTGTTTTATCCATCTTTCTATTGTGCATATTAAGCATTTTGAATGCTGTATACAAAATGGAATGGATTTCTTAGTTCAAATGCCACATTTATAATTCTGGGGGCATTTCTGCTCATAGTCTTTTTTTTGCTCCTTTGCAAGAGTTCATGGACAAGAGCTTGAATATAAAAAGTTAAACTTGCTCCATTAAGCCATTAAAAATAAATTATGTATAAACTTTTTTCTGGGAAGCAAATGTACAGATTATCTTAGTCTCAAAGGTTTCTGATTAAGAGCTTTCCAATACTCCCAATTTATGCAGAAGATGACCCAAAATGAATATATAAAAATATGTATCCTTTGCTAGTGATCATGTTGTACCTGTCTTTGTACATATTATGATATAATCTATAGGGGGATGGATGGATGGATGGATGGATGGATGGAGGGAGGGATGGAGGGAGGGAGGGAGGGAGGGAAGGAAGGAAGGTAGGAAGGAAAGAAGGAAGGAAGGAAGGAAGGAAGGAAGGAAGGAAGGAAGGATCCAATCTGGTGCTTTCATCAGTTTAGTGTAGGGGCTATAATGTTGTAATGGTATGTGCAGTGGTGGGATTCAAATATGTGAACAACCGGTTCTCTGCGTGGATGCTGCTTCCGGAAGTCCATACTGGGCTTGGGCAACAAAAAAAATAGTTACCAGTTCTACCGAACTGGTGCGAACTGGCTGAATCCCACCACTTGATATGTGGAAAAGACCTTGGGAGATGGAACAAGGAGACGCTGTCTTGGGATAGGAGACAGAATAGTAGTGGTGGGATTAAGCCAGTTCACACCAGTTTGGCAGAACCAGTAGCTATTTTTTTGTTGCTCAGGCCCAGAATAGACTTCCGGAAGAGGCATCCACACAGAGAACCGGTTGTTCACATATTTGAATCCCACCACTGCAGAGTAGCCTACAGCTGGATAGTGGGTGGGGCAAGAGACTCAGAAGGGATCCTCCATAGTTTTAGTTTCTCTGGCTGTAAAGGAGAAAACAGCAGAATTGTACCTTGAGATTGTGCACCTTTACAATAAATAGAATTAGATTATCTGATTATGTTTCCTGTCTGTTTTACCAGGCTGACAGATGTATCATTGATCTGGGGCTTTTTTTTTTTTTTTGGATTATGATCTTGGTTGGATTAAATTGGTAAAGTCAGAAAACTGTTTGAAGCACACCTATTACTACTGCTGTCACCCACAACTCTACAAGGTCACCAGAATAATCATATTAACATGCACTAGCCCAGTACTACTGTTCAGGATTGGATACCAGCCCTTTCAATCACCTTAGCAAAGAGCAGAAAATGCTTCTTACATTGATTATATTCCTACTTGTTTGTATTTCATTAGTACATTTGTTTCTTCTTCATGTAGACTTGTACCTTGTTGAGAGATGTTGAACCTAATGGAGTCTGCAATATTTACTGTGATATTTGGGTGGAAATCTCTTGATCTGACTATAAATACCCAAGAAGGGCCTTCTGTACACCTTGGAAATGTCATGACAAATAAAGTGATGGAATGTTTGGAATGAAACTGAAATAAGGAAATTTGAAAGGAATAATTAATTGTTTGCAGGGGAATGATACTGATATTTCTAAGAGTGGGATTCAAACAAATGCTATAAATGTTTGTACTGTACTGTAATCCATGAAAAAAAAAATGAAGAAAAGGAGGTCATAAACACTATGGGAATGTTGAAAACTGTAACTGGAGAAATGTTAAAATATGGTTTACATCTGGAGTAGCTGTGTAGCTTGTTTAATAAGTGTGCGAAAACTGATTGATTTTAGTTACAGACTTATGCTATTTCCAACAGATGTCAATATCTTTTTCAGACCAAATTAAAAGCAACATGACTCAAGGAACTGCAGGACCTCCTGGTGGGTAAATATAGTAGTACCTTCTAATCACTTTCTATTCTTTCTTTTATTGCTCCAACTTAATTGAAGGGTCCTTGGTGCTCTCTGAGCTTGCTTGTTTTTTTGCAGAGGTTTCATTATCCGAACTAGGTAAACTAAGGCAAGCTCAGAGAGCATCAAGGACCCTTCATTTCAACCCTGAACTACAAATATTTTCCTTTATTGGGTCCAACTTAATTCTTGTAAAATATCTGAAAGTGACTAAAATTACATGATATTCTACAAACAGGCAAATGCCATACATATCTGAATTCTAGCAAGCAAAGTAGACAAGACCAGCTGGTCTACACTTCTACAGCATTCATTTGAAGCATGGTTACTAAATTGTTCATTTTTGTCTTACCGGATTCAACAGAAATGTGTGAAAATGTGCCTGTTGAACACCATTAGTGGATGTATCCAAAGCAATCAGTAGTAATCTGTACATTTGTAAAAGGAACAGGAGAAATAATCCCATTATTCAATTTGCAGTGCTGGAATATACAGCAAGTTTTAAAAAAAAACCGTATTCAAAAATGGGTAGGTTAATGGAAATAATGAAAAAAAGGCAATTAAGAAAATTAAAGAAATCACATTAAGGAAATTCAGCTTCCAAAAATATCTCTCTTAAACGAAATGTACATTCTGGGAGAAATGTGCAAGAAAACGCACATGAATTTTTTTGTGGATTAAAAAAGAAAGAAAAAAGCAGCTTGATGCAGAAATCAGATAGAACAAATGTAAGGAATGAAAATGTTAGATGCAGAAAGCAATCAGAACTGACAGATTCACCTATCCCTGATGCAAATAGGCTGGGTGGGATACTTGGAGACTTGGATAGATGGATTCCATTATTATATATAGAAAGTCTAAGAGAGACAATTTGCATACATGTAGGCACTTCAGATCTTCTGCCAGATGAATACAAGGAGGAAGATTAGGGACAACGGCTATAAATTCCCTTCATCCTAAAAACACATGGTCTCTGAAATTTTACCCACAATTCACTTCTCCAGCCATGAAAATACTTTTACAAATGAATCCATGTGCCTGTTATATTAACATATAATTTTAGTGGCCCTTTAGACTGGTCTCTGCTGCTGATTTATGATTTTGTGTGTGTGTGTGTGTGTGTGTGTGTGTGTGTGCAATAGCAGCAACTAAGAAGACCGTGAAAATAAGAATCTTCTTTTCTTCATATTCAGGTCCCAAAGGAGAAAGGGGAATTCCAGGAAGACAAGGTGACCAAGGTAAGTAAAAGTCACATTTTCAAATAGTCAGTTTTGAATTTATAGCACTGACCCAGTGCAGACATAACGACCCTGTTCTATTAATAAGCTATGTGCCTATTCATGTCCCGCTTCCTTAGCTGTCTTCCTGAGTAGGATATGAAGTCAGGAATGGTCATGTGGCTTAGACCTAACAAAATGGCTCCCTAAGCTAAATTCATAATAGCCTAAGCTTACACCATGAATTGTCACTGCAAGTTGCAAACATAGTCAGATCTGACCTCTATAGAGTCATTAAAATAACGAATACCTGTTTCGTTGCTGAAGTGCGGTCAGTGTGAAATGAAATGGCCACTAAAATTGTGGCCAATGTGTGATTTTTATTAAATGGCAGATTCAAGGTTTGAGCTTGAATCATTTATGGCAAGTATATATATATCATATAAAATCTGCTATAAATCCATATTTGGGGCATCTTTCAGGACATAAAGGTGAAAAAGGAGACGTTGGTTTAACAGGAATCAAAGGAGACCCTGGAACAAATGGTAAGCAAATAAAACCACAACCCCTATCTTCAAGCAGGGGGCTGAGGGGTGAGGTGGTGATATTAATGAATTTCTGATTTTTAAACTGAGTGGGTTCTCCTTTCCTTTTTCTTTCTTTCAGGGATAGGACTTTCTGGACCGAAAGGAGAACCTGGTAATTCTTGAGCTGCAGTCTGAACCTCTATGCTGTGAAGTCAAGAGGGATGCTATCCATTCCATATGAACCATTTAATTTCTTTTGGCTATTCCTGGGTTTCTTCCTGAAGGACATCACGCTAGATCTTGGTGCTCAGGCCATGAGCCCACCTCAAACCCTTAAGCATCTTTGCTCCTTTTTTTCAGGAAGATGCCTCAATGGAAACTCAAGAGCAGGGGTGTCAAACTCAATTTCACTGAGGGCCGCATCAGCATTGCGGTTGCCCTCAGGGGGCTGGGTGGGTGTGGCCAGGGTGGGTGTGGCCTACTGGGTGGGTGTGGACAGAGTGGGTGTAGCCTATTGGGTGGGCATGGCCAGCTCTACATCGTTTGCGTCAAGGGTGTCTGTGGGGGCCTGGGCATGAGTGGGATAGATCTGAGGGTCTCTGGCAGAAGGGGGTGGGACCAGGGCAAGTGCCAAGGCATGGTCCACTGGAGGAGCCTCACTGCCTGCTGAAACCCCTCCCCTGGAGCCCATCAAGCTGGATATGTGAAGTAGGCGAGGGCCATTTGCTGGCCACTTCCAGGCGATGGTGCATTTCTTCATTCCTCACAAAGGGTGACACCTCCCCAGCATGCACCCAGAGGGCGGGGGTGATGCAGCAGGGGCTGGTTCCTCGCTGTTTCCAGACAGTCTTGTGGAGCTAAGACGGAATGCGTTTCAGCATAGATGGCCACCACAAAATTGTACATTGGCTCCCGGCCGGCCTGGGCCAGGACCAAGGCAGCGGGGGCCGTTCCCTCACTGTTTCCAGGATGGCTTCATGGGCCACATGAAACCACTTCACGGGCCGCATCCGGCCCCCAGGCCTTGTGTTTGAGATGTCTGCTCAAGAGGAATGTACTTTTGTTAGACTACAAAGCAGGCATTGGGGGAAGGGAAAAATACATTATTGGTCTTCTGGAGTGGTGGGAAGAGATTAATTTTCATTGGAACCAGTTATTGCCTAATGTAGACTATTGTACACCAGTGGGGTACTGTACGTTATAGCAAGTTCTCTATATCTATGGAATATTTATAGCCTTGTGTGTAAGAGGGCCTATCCATTGTGAAAGAATGTAGCACATTTTACCATGAATTTATTCTCATATCAAAGGAGGGTAGACTGAGGAACCCACTCCTTGGACCTTAAAATAATAAGAAAGGAAAGGTCCTTTGTCTCTTTTCTCAGACTGTTGCCAAACATTTTGATGTTCTCCATTGATGAATTTATTCTGTTAAGACTCATATATCATTTCTAAACCAAATTCAAAATCTCTCTTAAATGTGGCCCATCTATGGTTTATTTCAGATCTCAAAACTGAGATGGTTTTAAGTTGAGGACTACCTATATATATATATATGTTTCTGCTAAACTGCAAATCCTTCTGAGTTCCGTGATACTTAATCCCTAGTATATACAGGTAATAAGATTGCATTTTAATGTGTGCTGTGTATGTTTTAGGAGTTCCAGGAATACAAGGATATCCTGGTTCCCCAGGAGAGAAAGGTGATACAGGTAATAAAGTAATCAGATGCTGAAATTCAAGTAAAGTTTCATTGCGTTGCCAATTCTTGTTTTGCATTTATTTTTATTTTTCTCTATATTTTGATTATAGGAGCCATGGGACCAGAAGGGACAAAAGGACAGCAAGGCCTACCAGGTGATCTATTTCAGGCTGGTGGCTGGATTTGCCCCTTTAAACATTTTTTCTTAAAGTGATTCTCCTGGGAGATCCTTAAATATTACTGCTGTTGCATAGGTCCTTGATGACTTCACTGGTCAGAAGTCCAGTCCAGCATTTGTTTCAGTTGTGGACTGAAGTTCAGAGAAATTCCAAAGCAAAATGATGGTGACTGAGGAGTCTAGTTTTCAGTCTTATGAAAAAGGAACATACGGTTAATTATTTATTATATTATCAATGTATTTTTACAGCAGGAATTAGGATAGGGCCTTTCAAGATCTTCTTACTTGGTAGACCTGGGGAAAACATTGGTAAGTCTTGGTTACAATGCACAGGAACCATATTCTACTCCAGTTCATAGAACAAAATGTCTTGGGCTGCCCCTGGTTCCCAGATTTATTTCTAGTCAGAGATAAACATGTAATCCAAACTTGAAAGTCCTTTTGTCTTCCAAAGTTATGATTCCCATCCTCCAAATGTCTAACTTGGTCTTTTCAACCTTCAAACCCTACATATCCTGGGACAATATCTTCCAACAATTCTGTTTATAGACCATATCAAGGCTTGGAAAGGTTGATCTAAATGCATATAACTTGAGCAACTCTATTTTCAAATGTTAAGACTGAAATAAAACCAGCAAGGCCATTTTGCTGAAATGAAATTAAAGCAATTTAGCCACATTATTACTATGGATGGTAGCACAGTCAGTGAGATATTTAGACAGGATTTAGTATTTTTATCTACTTATCAAGTCCTTCCCATTGTTTGATGACATTTTATACTTACAGTAGATGACAAAGACAGAAATAGCAATATATCATTTGATTGATAGATAGATAGATAGATAGATAGATAGATAGATAGATAGACAGACAGACAGACAGACAGACAGACAGACAGACAGACAGACAGACAGACAGATACTGTATGTAGAGATATATGATTTTGTAACACCTACAAATGCTGAACAATTATCTCTATCTTTTAATATAGTCAATATGTAACACATATTTCAAAGGAATAGGCAACTTGTGCTAATTCATAGTTGCACAACCATCACCACAAAGAAGTCTATTTTCCCAATCTATACCATTCAGATTTGGAGAGTGGGGTGATGACAGAAAGATTATCAAAGATAATGTGAAGTTTCTCATGAGATTATGTGCCCAGATGTCATAATTCCTCAAATTACTATATATTAGATTAGTGCCAAACATGCAATGTGAGCAGCCCCAATTCCTCCTTAAGGATGCCTGAAATTCCCTCAACTATAGTTAGAATTCATTGAGTCATCGTTTCTTATAATTTTAGGCAAGAAAAATATGCACAAAAAATATAAAACTGGATCAGTAAATCCAGGGGTGCTCATGTGTATGGCATGACCTGTTTGCGTCACTGCCCTATCTCCTACAGCTTTCCATCTTCATGGTAAATGGTAAATGTGACCCTCTGCCCATTAAAATTTGTCTTCTCCATTGTAACCCAGGCTTACTTAATTATACCATGTGGAATTAAGCCAGTTCCCTCATTTGATCAGCACCCTGGACCATAAACTAGCTACAAGGCTTAATTCAAACAACACCCTAGCCATCAGGTTTTTGTCTTTGAGCATTGTACAAACCTGCATGCATCATGCTAATAGTTAGGTTTGCTTTTGGTGTGAATACAGCCATCATGGTTTGTTAAGCCATGATTTATGGCTCAGTATTTTGTGGAAATCCGGGCACTATGACAACACACCAAAGCAAGTCAAAGTTTATTACAAGGAGTGAATCGGCCCTGAGATTACTACTGTAGCATAAATTACAATAAGATTAAGTCTCTTGTGTTCAGTATTGGACACTGAGTACAGTGGCTCAGTTAAAAAGAATTATTAAATCTCTTTCCTATCAGGTTTATCTGGACTAAATGGTGAAAAGGGATCAAAAGGGAATCTTGGGCCTGTCGGACCAAAAGGTGAACCAGGAATGAAAGGAGAAATGGGGGAGATGGGATCACATGGTAAGATGAGTTATTATCATTTTGAAATAAGAGAAATCTTTTCTTCCTGGCTGTTCTTAGGGGAATGCAATTCTGCTGGTGCTGTGACAAAAGAAAGAGATAAATGATAAACTGGCTTGATTCTGTGAGGTTCGTGGTGCTCTCAGAGCTTGGTTGTTTGCCTGCAGGCGTTTCATTATTCTGCTTCTTGCCACTGATAATGTTACATAGTTGGGTAATGAAATGTCTGCAAGAAAACAACCAAACTCAGAAAGGACCAACAGTTCAACCCTGAATTACAAATATTCTTATCTATTGTCCTGATTCTCTGGGCTGTACCAACTATTTTTCAGGGCTGGGGTTGCAATCTGGGATGAAACAGTATAGCGTGGTGCCCACCAGAAATGTATTATTGTTTTTGTTACCGGAGCTTTTGGGTTGTAGATTTTGGCTGTTACTAAATGGCAGAGTTTCTTATATTTCTTTGCTGCCATCTATCATTTCCTAGATATTTGCAGCTGAAATCAGTAATGCCTAATTATTAAAAAGAGAAAAGTATTTTTCTTATTACAATATCAAGTAGCTATGTTAACATAATTTCAAGACACATTATAGCAGGGATGTCAAACTGCCAGCCCGCAGGCTGGACGCGTCACGAGGAAACTGCACCCACCCCATTGTCAGCAAGTTCCGATACGTCACGCGACATCATGTGACGTCGCGAGTTTGACATGTCTGCATTTTAGGAAAAGGAAAAAAAATCTACAATGTAAATTAAGTCAGGCACTACACATGTGAAAAGGTATCACATATAAGTACTCCAGATTATAGTCTATTGTTATTAATATAAATCATAAAATCCAACCGAATTTGATCAAATTGTGGTTCCTGCTTCTGAAATCTCATTCCTTTAAGTTTGCCTATAGTTTTTTCTAACAGTTTTTCCAAATTACATTAAAACTCCCCCCCCAAACACATTTTATGTAACTTATTTATATGGCTCTCCATTTGCCAAACACTTTATTCCTCTATTCCATACTCATTCATTCATCCACATCCAACCAAGCTAAAACCAAAACTCAACTCCCCCTGGTCACAGCTGTAACTTTAATTTTTTTTTTTAAAAAAAAGTTGCAAATTACTTGTGTTGTAATTGTTAAAGCCTGAAGTTAAACACTTCTGTGACCTAAATTAGCACAATCTTTATCAGCTGAGTGCCTTCTAGATGGGTGTATGGCCTTCATTTCTTATAATTCTCTAGCTAGTTGGGTATTCTAGTTGTGAGTTATGGAGACTACATTCTAAATCATGTAAAAACACCCGAGTGAGAAAATCTGTCTTAATTCATTATTCACATGACAAATGATCTCAAATGCCTGTTGACCCAGAAACAAAATATACAGCTTCATCATGACTAGAAAGAGCTAATTAACTGGCAATGTGATTGTCTTAAGTGAAGAAGATATTAAGCAAATTAGTAGTTATTACCATGTTATGATGAGGCTACAACTGAAAACAAACCGGGGACTATACAAATGAGAAAACTCCTGCTTTCAGACTTAGTGTGTTTAATTTGTTAAACAGGCTTACCAGGATCAAAAGGAGAAGCTGGTGAAAGAGGAATCACGGGTCCAAGAGGAATAACTGGTGATCCAGGAGAGAAGGGAGAGAAGGGAGATCAAGGCCAACAAGGTAATTGAATGCAACCAAGTGCTATCCTGAATGTCATATTTAGATCAAGGAGAATAGTCAAGTACTCAATATACTTTCATTGTTTATGTGACATTTACTATTTTCAGAAGTAAATAGTTGGAACACGTTATGGGTTAGTATTACAATTCAAACAGCAACTACTCAGACAACAAGCAAACCACAGTCAGCCATATTTTAGCAGCTCCCTTTCTTTCTTACTGGCATCTTAACTATTTTTTTACACTGTTTGACTAGTTGGTCCTTCCTGTTTTCTTTATTAATGTTGGGGAAATAAGAAGAAAACATGGTGGTCTAACGGAGGAGAGAGCTACAACACATGGAGTGGAGGAAAGCCCCAATTTCACATCTTCCATAGGGAGTGAAATAGAACTGGGAACAGCAGAGCTTTTCTGGAAGTTTGTGGTCATTCATTCTTCTTGTCCTTGTGTCTTAAGACTCCCACCAGAAATCATACAGGAATGCGACCAATGCTGTTTGGTCTATATTTTCTATATAACATATCATTTCATATGTCATGTTCATAATACACAAAGAATCTCTTATAGAAACCTATTCAGACGTATAGACAAGGAAATACTAATTTCTCTTTCAGGTCCACCAGGTCACGACGGTTTTCCTGGACCACAAGGAAATAAAGGTAAATAATGTTGTGTAAGTGCAATTGAAATGACCTTCTTATCACCTATACCCTGACACAAACATTCTCCAACACTATAACCCTACCAGAAGTCAATTTCCTTATGTTCAGTAGCATTTATTCTTACATACTGTAGATGTGGGGCTCATCTGTGGGGCTCCAGATGTGGTGATGGAGAAGACTCCTGCGAGTCCCCTGGACTGCAAGGTGATCAAACTGGTCAGTCCTAGAGGAGATCACCCCTGACTGCTCCTTAGAAGGCCAGATCCTGAAGTTGAAACTCAAATACTTTGGCCACCTAATGAGAAGGAAGGACTCACTAAAGAAGAGCCTAATGCTGGGAAAGATTGAGGGCAATAGAAGAAGGGGACGACAGAGAATGAGGTGGCTGGATGGAGTCACTGAAGCAGTAGGCATGAGCTTAAATGGACTCCAGAAGATGGTAGAGGACAGGAAGGCCTGGAGGAACGTTGTCCAAGGGGTCGCCTTGGGTCGGACACGACTTCGCAACTAACAACAACAATTGTAGATGTGTTTAGGAGCACAATAATCTCACCCACTTCCTGGAAGTAAATGTTGCTGAATTTAACAGACCTTAGGTTTGAGTGAAAATCCATGGGATTGCACTGCACAGCAAAGCACGGTTACTAGGCAATAAAACATGCAGAGGTCAATAGGACTTATACCTTAGAAAATACTAAAACGAGCTACTAAACATTTTTCCTAGAAGTAATTTAACTTCTGAGAACACATAATATAGAGAAGTCTTGACTGAAATTGCTAGATGTAATTACATTGCTGTTCCTAAAAAAGGAAGTGACTACAGCTTGCTTATTTGGCATCAGATTGTATACATTAAAAGTTTATTTGCAGACTTTCTTCCCCCTTTTTCTCCTCTTTCATTGACCAGCTCCTTCTACCTCATTTATTAAAGTGTTTTTGCCTTCCTCCACATTGGTCGGTGGGTTTCTCCCAAATGGTAAGATGGTAAAATGAATTTTGAGTCTCTGTGGCCTTGTCCATTCTAAGCACTGTTCCATATTATAGATTTGCAGGCAAAAGCTGTTCTTGCTGACATGAGCAAGAAATGATTCGTGGTGATGTGAATCAGCAAAAGATGAGGCAGAAAACGGTGGCCATTCTCTGCATTTCCTTTTGTTACAAAGCTGCTTACAACAGGAGATTGACAGTAAGAACAGATTTTGCCTGCAAGTCCGTAATGCAGAACAAAAGGTGCAAACCTACAGAGCAAAATCATCTACTGCAGCCCGGTATAACCTAATATAGGCAGTCCTTGACTTATGACTGCTCGCTTAGCAACTATTTGAAATTACAATGGACCTCCCCAGAGCTACTTACAGCCTGGATTTCCAAGTTCTGATAGCCGCTCCCCCTTTGGCCATGTGATTGCATTGGGGTGCTTGGCAACTGGCCTGCATGTATGGCCATTTCCAGTGTCCTGCAGTCATGTGAATTGGATTTATTAGGATTTTTTGCTGGAAACCAGCATTTGCTTATAGTATCCAGGTACAATAGGTTCAATTAACAACTTCCACGTTCATTTAATGACTGTGGTGTTCGCTTAATCACAAAAAAAGTTGTAAAATTGGACATGGTCACTTGATGACCTGCTTGATGACCGCCAGGCTCAATTACAGTCATAATTCAAGGACTACCTATAGTCTGTATACCTCCTGATCTACAACTTCCAGAAGCCTCAGCTTACATGATTAAGGTTGGCATGGTTTTTACATACAGTGGTTGTGAAGTCATTTGACAGCATATGATCAGGACAGCTGTTCTATTACTAAGTAATCTTTTTTTTTAATCAAGTTAAAAGGATGGTTTTTAGCACACCTTTTTTGTACACAATATGCAACTATCCCTTCACATTTGCTCTGCTATCACACCCTTTGATTTGCTTAATAGGTGCTGTTGGAAATGTGGGTTCCCCAGGAACTCGTGGTCCAAAGGGTGAACAAGGGGAGAAAGGAGCAGCAAGTCAAGTTCCAGGTAAGAAAATACCATGGGCTTTTTTTTTTTTTTGTAATAATATTATTGAAGTCCATATTCCTCTGGTCTCCAGTTTAATTAATAATTTTCTTAAATCAAAATTCTTTTTTTTCCCTGAATGCCAATTATATAGTGTTTTTAAACTCTTAAGTTCTAAAAAAAAAGTCTTTGTATCAAAGAAAGAAGGTAAAACTCACCAGATCTCAATTTAAACTTGGCATTTTGAAAGTCTCTAATATCCATGATATAGTTAAGTAGATCATCTCCAAACGTGATTACGAAGTAAGTGTAGCTAGCTTAATGTTCTTTTTAAAGGTTTGTCTCAGGGTGCTCAATCCAATAGGGCATTACAATCCTCTTGCAGGGAGCTGCCATTCAGAGGTTGTGGACAATCTCCTGTTCTTCTCTTCTCCAGAGAGTTTCCAAAGGACTGGACTACATGCCAATCTCTCATTCTTCGTGGCAGTCCTAGTCTCTGCTGTTTGTACAGACATCTTTAGTCTACAATGACTCACCTGACAGCTGAAAGAGCTGCAAATAGCATGTTTTAGTCTGCTGAAACTTTAGCTTCCAAAGACTTTCTAACCTGTAGTCTTCTTTCTTCTCTCAGGCCCGCAAGGACAAAAAGGTGATCAGGGTCAAAAAGGTAGTAAGGGAGATACAGGTAAATTGCAAACCTGATATCAATATTTTGCACATACATATAATCAAATGCATATGAACTTTATATTTTGTTTTGGTAGAATATGGATTTATAATGTTTAAATTATTACAGGCAAGTATTCTATAGAGCACGGGTGTCAAACTCGATTGAGTCATGCAATGTATCGTGACTTTTTTGCCTTTGCGGAGCTGGGGTGGGCATGGCCTGTGCATGAGGCATCCAGCCCGCGGGCTGCCCGTTTGACACCCCTGCTATAGAGCACTCATGACAGATGTCCTGTTCTCAACCCACTCTCCATAAATTCCATTTTATTGAAGCTATTGGATTATTCAATATGCCTTGTTTGGTTGATCTATAATGAAAAGCCACTGTAAAGATTCTTCAATGCTGGTTCTCCAATTTTGCTGTTAGACACTTGGGGGAAAATTCACCTATTATGGTAGCAGCAAAGAAAAGATTTGCAGGCAAAAATCCATTCTAGGACTACACACTTTCAAGGGGTTCATGAAGTCAAATAAATATTTTAAAATTTCTCTGCTTTAATTTCTAATAAATATTGATAGGTATAACCTACACAAACTAAACCTTTCAAGGGTCTTCCATAATTAAAAAAAAATAAAGCAAAATTTAAAAAATGGTCCTAAAACCAAAGTGTTTGGGAACCACTGGTCTATAAGAACTCTTGCAATAGATATGACTTGGGAAGTGTGGTACACACGTAGGACAGATATTATCTTTCTGGTCCATGTTGCATTTGTTTTATTCATTCATCACTCCATTGTGTACTGTTTCTGTTTTCATTTATGGTGTTTTTTTTAAAAAAAAGAACCCACAAGCTATCTGGATGTTTTATCAACATTTGTTTAATTCTCTTAAACCAGGATCACCAGGAACACAAGGTTCTAAAGGTGAAAGGGGCATCTCAGGTAAATTATTCCCAACAAACTGTAGAACTTCTTTGCATGTGTGGAGCTCCATATGAGCTGGGTTTCTTTATCTAGCATAAGAGCATAAAAATAGCAAAAACACAATTGAAAAATACATACAGCTACGTCTGTTCCAAAAGCAGGCAAAACTGAGATAGTACTCTTTGTATCAGGACTTATAGACAAGTAATAGGGTGCATTCCTTTGTTAGAAAAGATATTTGTGCTCATTATCCTTATTATACATTTAATCCAGGAGTTGTCTTTAGGACCCAACAAAGTGTTATGTTATTCTTTCCCAAAAGCAGCTTATCCATACAGGTGAACTAGGCGGTCACCTGGGGCATCAGGTCTAGTAGAGAAGCCAATATCAAGGAACAAAAACAAAATTTACAAATACCAAAATAAATGTATGGACCATCAGTTGCAAGATTTGCCCAGGATGCTCTAAGAGAGTTTATACTGAAACCATCCTTTAGATGTGGAAAATCACAAATGTATAGTTGGAGTAGAAAGGTTCTTTTTCAATGGATACTTGGCCCAATCAAACCCTTAATGCTTTACTGTTGTCTTTTGAAATTACGTACACAAACAACCACAGGATTCGGTGCTTTCCTAAGACTCGTAGGACAAGACAACCGTGGTCGTGTGGAGATTCTGCATAAAGGGCAGTGGGGCACCATCTGTGATGATCTCTGGGATGTGAATTCTGGCAACGTGATTTGCCGAATGCTGGGGTTCAATCGGGCTGTTAGTACCTTCACTGCACCTGCAGGTAATCTACTTCACAACTTTCATCAAATCAGAAAGCATGAGATTTGGGGGGGGCTTGAAACATGGCTCTACTCTTAAATAGCAAGGGAAATCTTTGCTCTGGGCCTTTGTTCTAGAGGGGAATTTTAGACATCTGAGAGAACAGCTAAATGGAATATGGTTCCCTCAACAGTCCCTCATATGTGTAAAATCAGATCTTGCAGCACAATGATGTCAACACAGTTTGTTTTCTTGCCTCGGAAACAATTTACATATTTACTCATTATATCTCTGCTTGTGTATTTTGTCTCTCATCAGGATCTGGACAAATCTGGCTGGATGATGTACAATGTTCAGGAAATGAACCCTCCATTTATTTGTGTAGTAAACGTGAATGGGGTGAAAACAACTGCAGTCATAGTGAAGATGCTGGGGTTGAGTGTAATTAAGGCAGTTTTGCAGCGCAATCTGTAAAATAATATTGAAATAAGAGTCTCAGCCTTGTCATGCAGTGTATATCTTATTGATCAGTTACCTATTGCTTACTGTCTTCTGTTGTATCAATGTATTTTTAGGTTCTTCTTTGATTGAGACCAATTTTAAAGATTATTTGATGTAAATAGGCTCACAAGTACACTGAGGAATGTTTTTTATGTAACAATCCCATAAATTGCATCTTTATTCACCTGGATGAAGGATCTATTGATACAGTTGGACTTCCTAATAAGAAGCACACACGGAAGATACACACCACAAAGCAATGAATATCTGCCAAGTTAGATTTCATCTTCAATAAAGTAAAATGACTTTGCTAGGTTCTTCTGTAGATAAAACAATTGAACTTCACATCATTGTTTTATAAAGCAGCCGGGATTCCAGGAAACATTCACAGCCTTGCTCACCTGAAATAGAACTTTACAAAAAACGATGACCATGCTTCGTTATCCTTTACGTTACTTTCATCCTCTTTCAAGGGTGCCTTTTCCTGAACTTCCACATCAAGGTGGCATCATGTTGAGTCCCAATTCCGAACCTGTGCATTGCTCAAGAGAACTCAAACACACTGGCCTCCGATTGTGAGGCATTGTCTTCCTTCAAAGCATAGCCTTTTGGGTGACTGAGCAGGGCCTATGACAATTTGCTGTGGCCAACTCCCCATGGCCAACTCATTGTGAAACAAGTCACTGCGGGACAAGAGTTACACTAATATCAAAGAAATGGTAGCACAGACTCATTAAAGAAAAGATGTGGTCTAATATTTAGGTTATGAATATGTTTATTATTGTGTTTAATTTTAATTTGTTTACATTTGTGTTCAAGGGGAGTTAAAGCGCATTATGGACTTGGTTATTTTAATAGTTGGTTAATGCTAGATAGATTTTGATTATTATATTTGTAACTCTGTGTTCAGCTCTGGGAAGTGGGGGAGGGGGAGGGAGGGGTTTTGGGGTGGGTATGGGGGTTTATACTGTAATCTTCATAAAACTTTTAATAAAAAAGAAAAGAAAAGATGCAAAGAGAGGGACAAAATGAAATGTGAATGACAACAATTAAAATATTTTTTATTTACTTTAAATAATTCAATTGAATTGTTAAATTGTCCCATGACAAGTTGTCCCGCAGCAAGTTGTCTCATTCCCACCTGGAGCAATCGCAGCCTGATGCCTCTGCCAGAAGAAACACGTCTCTCCTTCATTATGTGATGTCATTCTGATAACATACAACAAGAGAAATCCTCACATATCTAAATAATTTTTTTGTTGTTGTAGCAGATCTGTTGTAGGAGATCAGGAATGTATGCCTTAAAATACGAACAGGGTTTTATGCTTTCAGGGAATACCTGTGAAAGAGGTTATCTTCTGGGTAAATTGTGTATTCATATAAGAGGGCAGAAAACCATGAATCACTTTGATGAGTAATTCTTAGACTTCTAGAAGGTTTACAGCTACTTGTTTCTTTTTTTTTTTCCCCTTGGCATTTCCCTAACAAAAGCCTTGGACGATGACAGGCAGGGATATCCAAATTGGCATACATCAGTATCTGAGATCCAGAAATGAAGAAAGAAGAAGAATAGGGCTGCATTAAAGGAGGCAAAGCAATGTATTTTCAAGGAATAGTTTTATGTAGCATTTTATTAGTTCTTCTACAGCATATGTCATTTTAGCTGGTCTTGGCAAGTGTTGACCTGAAGACACATTGGTGGGATGAAATGTTTTGCAAATGTTGTCTAGAGTTTATTAAAGGCTCATAAAATTCAGCATAAGCTGAATGCACACAAACACAGACGGAATGAAAGGGAGAAATATCACTGTGCTTTATATAGCTGAACAGGATAAAAAGGGCAGCACCAAGAAGGGGCTTACCTTGTATTGGCAGCAGTCCTTTGCACAATGGTCTACAGGAATTGGCCATCTCATCTTACCTTCATATTCTTACCTCACCTTTTCAGCCATATAAGAGGAGCGAGGCTTCCACTAGCTGTGTTCACGTTTTCTACCAGATATTCTAATGAATGGTTCCATCTCAGCACTAGNATTTAGGTTATGAATATGTTTATTATTGTGTTTAATTTTAATTTGTTTACATTTGTGTTCAAGGGGAGTTAAAGCGCATTATGGACTTGGTTATTTTAATAGTTGGTTAATGCTAGATAGATTTTGATTATTATATTTGTAACCCTGTGTTCAGCTCTGGGAAGTGGGGGAGGGGGAGGGAGGGGTTTTGGGGTGGGTATGGGGGTTTATACTGTAATCTTCATAAAACTTTTAATAAAAAAGAAAAGAAAAGAAAAGATGCAAAGAGAGGGACAAAATGAAATGTGAATGACAACAATTAAAATATTTTTTATTTACTTTAAATAATTCAATTGAATTGTTAAATTGTCCCATGACAAGTTGTCCCGCAGCGAGTTGTCTCATTCCCACCTGGAGCAATCGCAGCCTGATGCCTCTGCCAGAAGAAACACGTCTCTCCTTCATTATGTGATGTCATTCTGATAACATACAACAAGAGAAATCCTCACATATCTAAATAATTTTTTGTTGTTGTAGCAGATCTGTTGTAGGAGATCAGGAATGTATGCCTTAAAATACGAACAGGGTTTTATGCTTTCAGGGAATACCTGTGAAAGAGGTTATCTTCTGGGTGAATTGTGTATTCATATAAGAGGGCAGAAAAACCATGAATCACTTTGATGAGTAATTCTTAGACTTCTAGAAGGTTTACAGCTACTTGTTTCTTTTCTTTTTTCCCCTTGGCATTTCCCTAACAAAAGCCTTGGACGATGACAGGCAGGGATATCCAAATTGTCACACATCAGTATCTGAGATCCAGAAATGAAGAAAGAAGAAGAATAGGGCTGCATTAAAGGAGGCAAAGCGATGTATTTTCAAGGAATAGTTTTATGTAGCATTTTATTAGTTCTTCTACAGCATATGTCATTTTAGCTGGTCTTGGCAAGTGTTGACCTGAAGACACATTGGTGGGATGAAATGTTGCAAATGTTGTCTAGAGTTTATTAAAGGCTCATAAAATTCAGCATAAGCTGAATGCACACAAACACAGACGGAATGAAAGGGAGAAATATCACTGTGCTTTATATAGCTGAACAGGAAAAAAAGGGCAGCACCAAGAAGGGGCTTACCTTGTATTGGCAGCAGTCCTTTGCACAATGGTCTACAGGAATTGGCCATCTCATCTTACCTTCATATTCTTACCTCACCTTTTCAGCCATATAAGAGGAGCGAGGCTTCCACTAGCTGTGTTCACGTTTTCTACCAGATATTCTAATGAATGGTTCCATCTCAGCACTAGGTGGCGCTCAGGACCCTCATCCAGATTCAGATATAGGGTCTTCAGCAACTCTTTAACAGTGGCAGTTACAGTGTCCTGATATAAAAAACTGGCTCACAAGCAAATGATTTCTCAGATGCACCCAACTTAACCGTTTCCAGTCATTTTAGCTACACTGAGATTTCCATAGACCAAGATCTTTTGTGAGTCCTTCACTTGTTTCCATCCTCAGAATTTTCCAGCCCTGTTTTTCCAAGTACCCGGAAAACTATTCCAGAGAGATAGTTCATCAGAAGACTCATACTCATCTCAAAGACTTTAGCAGCTCATTCCGTATTTCCCTTGCTTGCACCTCCGATATTTGCCTGCCTGCTTGCAAGCTTCGTCACCTTGAGTTACTTATAAAGTAATAAAAACGGGTTTAAAATCTAATGAATAAATACATGAACTTGAGCCTACTCAGGAGTAGATGAGGTAAAATGCCTCCCTCTTCCCAACTGTGGTCCTTTACTGATGTTCTGTAGAGTGTTAGAAGGACATCCTCGAGCAAAATGGCCAGATTCTGCATAATATAAGCTTGTGCAATAGTACACTGTACAATACTACAGTGAGAAAAATTCTGAAGGCTCCCAGGTCCAGGGTTCAACTCCTAAGGTCTCTGATCTATAGGAGGATGAGGAGAAAGGTCCAGCATTGTGTCTGTGATGCCCTAGGGCTAAATTTCTCTCATATTTCATCCAACTGGCCCTCTCTGAACTGACCAATTAAGCCAAGCATGCCTGCCCACTACACCTGAAATGGTCTATTCCAGCATTAAATGCTTTACACTGATGGAGATGCAGAAGTAGTAGAGTTTCTTCAGAGTCAGGCATACCACACAATTAACACAGTTATCCAAATCTGCATTGTTCCTGATGTCACCCTTCCACAGATCAGGAACATACAACTTTTTCAGTCATGAGATTTATATTTAAAAAAAGGGAGGGAGGGAGAGAGGGAGGGAGGGAGGGAGGGAGGAAGGAAGGAAGGAAGGAAGGAAGGAATTGTTTGCTGCTATTGAACTGCAGCAGCAACATTGGGGTTTGCCAATGTCCTGGAGGGGGAAAGCCTATCAAGGGCAGAAGAGGAATGGGCTACCTGATCCATATGAGTAACCACCTGATCCTGCTACTGAAGCATTGACTGACTGGCCAATAGAGTGTTTGGAAGGTTAACAACTATTTATTCTGACTCCCCAGCAGGTGTGCAATGGCCCTCCTCAACCTGTTGTGGGAGTGATAAGAAGGTAATCAAGCTGTCAGGCTGAAACTCAGCAGAAGCTACTCAGACATTTGACACAGCACAGCTGGACAAGAATCTTCAGAACTTGCTAGAATGAAGCCACTTAAAGCAGTTGATTGCCATCTGCCAACAGGCAGCTACAAGCCATTCTGATCTCCGTAGCAGTTTCAGTCCAGTGCTGCTTGCATAGCAGTTCTCAAGCTCTTTGAGAAGAGTTTTTGACAATTGCCAATGTATCTCCCACAGAAAACTTTAAATCTTCCCCCTGCAGTTTAGGCCACGTACCATTTCATAATACAAAGCAAAAACTATGTTCAGTTGTATCTGTCCTATAAGTACAGTGGCCTAATTATAATTTAAGGCTATCATAGTGTTGGGCAAATATATCCCTAAGCTCTGGCTCCTGTATGTCCAGACTCCAATAAGATACTGAGACAGGAAGATCATTTTATTGCTATTTATTCAGAATATTTGACTAAAAAGGATTCCTCTCATTCAAAGAGGGACCCAGTTCCTCAGCTTACATTCTGTTTTATAGTTAACCCATCAAAGAGAAAAATCGATTGGATGGGACAAAACTAACCCCTCCTTTGCATAGAAAATGAGTTATGTGGAGTTAAACATATTACATGTAAACAACACACATGTCCCTTTAAATGAGATCTGACAAAAGCAGGGGTGTAAAATTTAAGATGTTGATGAGGGGGAAAAAAGTCATAAGGTTGTTTGGCGGGCACGGAGAGACAACTCAGCTATCAATTAATGCTAACAAGTTTTCTCTCTCTTATCAGAAGACCAACTCCAAACATCTTATTAAAACAAACACAGTCCCATCCTATTCTGACCTGGAGTTTTTACCTTTGCTATTTAAGAAAGTTGGAAGTTAACAATCAATCAGTCCATATAGCAATAATCAAAGAATTTACCACATTCAAGTTTGCAATGGTTTGATAAGCCATTAATATCATTTAAAAGGAAGACAAATAAGTCAAATTAAAATATGTGCTATGTTAGTTAGCAAGTATAACAATACTACAAATTCCATGTTGTGTGGCCCT